TCACAAATGGGCGCCTTTTGTTGAGGGCAGCACTGACAGCTCGCCTTTGGCTATCGTTTAACTCTTCAGGGAGATTGGGAAGCATACGATCTATACGCATATGAAAGGTAGGGAAATAGAAACAAAAAGCAACATCTACTCACCATTGTGAATGGATGGCATATTTTTTGCGCGGAACGCATACCCTAGCAAATCTATTCCGGGTGTGTCGACCACTTTGTTTTCTCTGAAAAGGAAAACAAAATCAAGCAAATGCATAGATATAAAAATTTCAATTCCTAGAAAACTGAAGAAAAAGGTTACAGACAAAAGAGGCAAACTTATAAAGAGAAGAAAAAGGGAGAAGTATGAATTTCTTATGAAAACGATGGAATGTTACCAGATGCACTTGAATTATAAAAAAAACTCACAAGAAAAAGTCCTGAACAGCATGCAAAGCTCCACTAGATTGTGACAAAGTGATGACGTAATCAGTATCCCCATTGAGGGATCTGGAACTGCTTGATGGGCGAATTTTGACCTAGAAGATATGTTAGGGGGATTGACAATAGAACTTGGAGTGAACATACCGTAATTTCCTTTCGAGTCGAAGATAACATAACACATTCAGCTATCTCTCTGAGAGATTTCGCATCACGCAAGGTCAATGGGGCCCCTAAATAACCAAGAGGCTCATAAACGCCTGTTATAAATCAAAGTTTAGAAAAATCATGCGATGTAACCACCTGCACGAAAAATCTTTGAGCGATCGAGTGAGTTGCCAGGCACGGTTCTCCTTACAACCACTGTTCTTCCAGTGATGGGATGCAAATCATCTGAGACTAATCGTAAGCTAGCTATTAATAGACCTCTATGTTCCAGATCGCGGAGATCAGTCTGCTCTCGAAGTTCTTTCAACTAAATAGTGAAAAAATAAACAAAATGAGTGATAAATAAATGAAATGTAACTGACATGCGCAACGCTCTCATCGATTTCAGCTTGCAACAACCTCGGCCATTCGCGAAGTTTCGCCCGAAATTCTGGCGGATAAGCCGCCAGTGGGTCCTTTTTCTTCTGTAGCTTAGCATATCGTCCTATGGAATTTGTCTGCAGTTAATCACATATATGTTTAGCTAATACACAGTTTAGGATGATCGAACACTTACAATAGAAGTCAAATGAATGCGAGCGTTGGACGCTTGAATTACAGAAGATATCCTGCTGAATGAAGTGATTCGACCGCATAACATATTGGTCAAAGATATACCCAGTGAAAATCATTGAAGTTGTTTCATAAAACTGCCATGACTTCAGCACACCTAAAATAGAAAACCAGAAATAATTGCTCGATCTAGGACCACATGCATGAGAACCTGAAGAAACTTAAGAACATGAAGATAAGGAGACCTCTCATAACTCAAACATACAGCTACTAAATCAGTAATTATATTGGATTATACTAAGCTTTGATTTCAAAAGTCAAAACTCAAAACAGGCTATAGGAAATAAAGAACAATTTAATCATGGAAAATGACATCAAGGCATTGATCAATCATTATCAAAACTAGTTATGAGTGCTCTTCTTCTAAGACAACTGGACAAAATGGAGGACGTGCAAGAGGCTGCAACGACGCGTCGCCTTTGCCTATGGGATACTGAAGGAACTTCGTTTTTCTTCGCGCCACTAATTGTTGCCTGCACCGGTGCAGTCCCCCCATCCGGAAGAAAGCAAAATATACATGGATCTTTCAATGCATTGGAAATATGGGAAAATGAACGTGAATTTTGAAGTAGGCAAATGAGGGCAAAAACAGAATAGCAATCGGGATTGGCCTGGGCACGTCTCCGATTGGACTCTTCGAAAACGAATAACCCCTTGAAAATCATGAGTTCTACGATATTCCCTTTGAGCATGAAGAAGTAAAAAAAGAATTAGAAAACCTTCACTACCTCTCGAATTACTTGAAATTTTGCTCGCTGCTAAAAAACTGAAAATATTTACTTTGATAGTATTGGTTTAATTGGAATACGTCTTCTGTTCTGTCCCCCGAGGCTAATGTAAGTCATTGCGTTGTTGACGGCGCTAGTGCGTCAACTTCTCCTATCACTGTATAACAAGGGACGCTTATAGAAAACTTAGCTAAGGAGAAATCAAACATTATCAGCGCCAAATGACAAGCCCTCCAATCCCCCTCATAGAAAGAAAAGGTAATTAATCTATCGCGACTATGGGGCTCAACATGGTCGTGCATGCAGCATTATCGCAAGAGAATTCCTTGATGCTAAACTTGCAACTAAAGTGCACAAGTATCACATATAAAAATGAGCAAGAAACACATAAATAATATTCGCTTCCTCAACAATTTTCATCGGATGAGTAAAAACGGAAGAAAGAGTATCAAAGGAACTCACTTTTCCGCGCTATGGCCCCGCGGAAAAGAGCGCTTTGAAACGAACTTGGACCTTCTTTAGAGCAGGAATGCGAGCGATAGTGAAGTGTGGATTGAATTAGTGAGAAGTGAGAGAACTAGAGAGAAGACTGAACATAAGGCCTATGCTTGACATACTCGCTAGGGAGGATAGAGGAGCTTTATAAACATTATTATTTATGACAGCAGTACTGAGATGGTAGGTGATCTGAATGTCATTCACATGATTTGGCATATGGTAGGAATCTTATGCGATTTCGTCCATTTCTTCATCGACATAGCAGGATCTCCAAAAGGGTTGCCGCCTTTGCCTGCGGAGACTTCCTAAACTTAGGGGAACTAGAAGGGT